ATAACAAATGACGCTGCTGAAGATGTGTCACCTGAAAAAGCCACTGTTGAAGAAGAAACTTGACTTGGTTTTGAGAAGGGAAACTGTGAAGCCCTTGATGAAGGTACTACCACTGATGTGACTGTTACCAATGATAGGACATTTCCTGATGAAGCAGATGAACCCCACATGAAGCAGAAGCCAACAAAACGGAGACCAGTATGGAAGAAGATACGTCCCGTAAAATTAAGAGTCTTTGTTGAATTGTAATTTTGTGTTTGTAAATTCTGTACATTTAATTAAGTTATTGTTAATTGTTTATTGGTTTAATGTAAGTGACTATTGTTCGGGATGAACAATACTAAGGAAGAGGCAGTGTTACTACAGCAGGGAGCACGTGATGCTAGTAACACGTCGTAAAATTCTAGAAGGATCCTGTCCCTTCCTGAAGTCTTGAGAGGCTACTAGATATGCGGTAGTCTTGTATATATATGCCGCCAAGAACTGCTGGCAACAATGGGTAATTGAACTGTGGACAGAGAGAGAGACACACATATTGTTGAGTGAGCACGTGACACGTTCGTTGTAAATTATAGTGTTTGTTATAGCACGACTGTGGAAATTAAGTGTATTGCAAAGTTGTATTCAGAAAGAATAAACCAGTTTTATTTAAGAAAGGAGATATATTGCTAAAGTTCTTCGGAAAAGTTTTTACGGAAAATTAACTAACGAACGGAGGCATAACAATAACAACAGAAGATATACCAGTTGTTACTACTAACAATGAGGATAGTAACCAAGTAAGTGAGGATAATATCCCTAGTACTCATTGACGACACAAGCTGATGTAGTGACTCATGATTATAATCTTAGATCACGAGGTCCTATATCAACCCAACTGGAAGTGACTCATACTAAGCAAAAAAACTAGTACGATTCCCAACTGCAAGTGGTCGTACACAAATCTAAAAATAACGTAAATACAGTTAACACTGTATCTTACGAAGCCAGTGTTATTAATG